ATTTATTTATTTTATTTATTTGGAGTGTGTGTACCATCAAATCGAATCCAACTAGTACAGGAGGAGATTGCCCTCCTTCTCCAGCAGACCATCTGGTGGCTCCGAACTGCATGCCTCTGGGATTGCAGTGCAGCTTCTTGCCACTAGGCCACCAGAGCTCCCTTATTATTACTTTTAAAGTATTCACATTTAACTTACATAATTAAAATAAATTAAAACTATGATGTTAAAAAACACCTCGAAGGACAGAAATGATAATGTTATCTACAGGAGTTAGAAGGGCAAGACTTTCACTTCATAACTGTATTTGTCAAAGTAATGGATTTTACTTATAAAATATTGTTGTTCATTGCCTTTGAGCTGAGCACAACTCACAGTGACCCTATGAGCAAAAGGCCTGAAGCCTTTCTATTAACTACTGACATTTATCAAAGATCACAGTTTCTGGAGGCATGCTGTTTAGGAAGCAGATGCTACTTCTGCTTCTAAAATAAAATATTACTTTAATGAACTTTAAAAACTAATTTAGGGGATCCAAGATGGCGGTGAAGGCAGAGACATCGTGGTGAGCTGCGGGAGCAGCAGGCCACTCGGAGGAGGGCCACTATGGCCTTCTACAGGCCTCTGTTTATTGATAATTGAACAGTTAAACAGCTGATGACTGGTCTTCAGTGAAGATTAAGGCTCAACAACAGGAATTCAAGGATTCCCAAGGAGGAATGGATGAGTCCCGCAGCTCCCAGCCCCCTCCTGCAGAGCACGCACTGCATTGCCCCCGCTGCAGCTCCATGAGGCTTCCGCTGCCAGAACACAGGGATTCCCTCACCCAGGATGAATGGTAGGCATCGGCCCTCCCTGAGACCGGTGCAGTGGAGCCACCACACTGCCGCAGAGTGGACTTGTTCTGGGGAGAATTCTTGGAGCCAGGACGGCAGTGGTGGGGAGGTGGGCGGCCGCCTGCGGGGTCACGCGCCCAGTTGCCCACGCGGGGGGACACGCACCCCAGCCACCTACAGGTTTGGGTTTCCTTGGACAGGCCAGAAAAGAGGATCACCGGTACAATGGATTGTTGAAAGTCACTGTGAGTTGTCTACTTGATGACACTTAACAGTGGCAGTATGTCCAAGAGGACCGACATCCTAAATTCACCACATTATTTTTAGGCGCCCTGGCTGCCTAAAGGTTTGGGTTTCCTTGGACAGGCCAGAAAAGAGGATCACTGGTATGATGGATTGTTGAAAGTCACTGTGAGTGGTCTACTTGATGACACTTAACAGTGGCAGCATGTCCAAGAGGACCGACATCCTAAATGCACCACATATTTTGATGTTGAATGCTTCTGCCAAAAGCTGTTTAGACCTGGGAGGAGTCTGTTCACAACTCTCAGGTTCCCTTTGCCATTTATAAAGGGGGAGGGCAGTGTCACCTACTTCAAATTACAGTATGACCATTTATTGGGGGGGGGGGGTTAAAGGTGGGGGTGCTGGAATTGGGGACACTGTCCCTGGCCACATCGTCTTCGGTCAGGCGAGGGGTCCAGACTGGGGTGGGGGCAACTGGAGGGGGAGTGTACCACCCAGCCCCCAGGGGGTGTTGCCCTGCTGGGGGTGAACCATTGGCTCTCTGCTCAGGGTGGGCTGTCTTCGGCCCCCAGCCAAGGGCGAGCAGTCACGGCCCTCTGCTCGGGGCGGGCTGTCTTTGGCCCCTGGCTCGGGGCGAGCCGTCATGGCCCTCTACTCATGGCCCTCTGCTCGGGGCGTGGCCTTCAGGGTGAGCTCCTCAGTCCCCAGATTGTGCCATCTGACCCCTGGGTGGGGAAAAAAAATGCCTAGGGTATCCAGAGAATTTTATCTAGGCTACATTCGGCAACCCTCTTCCCCAGTAAATCTGAAAGTAACACCCCCAAAGACCTTCTATTTGTAACTCACAAGTTTGTGCTCTCTAGGTTTGCTCCCTTTCCTATAGGTAACCCTAACACTGAGTTTTACTCCAGACCTGATCCTGAACCCTGTGGCTGTGACAAAAAGGAAATACAACTGACAGCTAAGGAAGCAAAGGGGGATGGATCCTCTGGGTTCAACCAGCCATCCCCACTGGACCCACCTGGAAAAACATTTTGAAGTCCAGAGGGGAGCAAATGTCAGGAAAACATCTTCTAACAGAACAAGAAGGCAAGCAGCTTTAACCCAAGACCACCAGTAAGGTGATAAAGTGTCCTCCCTTTCCCCCTTCACATCTATGCCCCTGTTCAGCATGAAGAAGCTGGACAGTCTGCATCCAGTTCCCAAATCAATAAGACAGTTGGTTTAATCACCATTGGAATATGCTTTCCATCCCCCGGTAGCATCTGGTCCCCACTGGATCCTTTTAATTTCCTTCACCTGCTCCCCCCTCCAACCAAATTGTACAGCCCTCCAACTGCACCCCTGCAATTTTCATCCCTGTAAATCCTCACCCGTCTGCCCCCAACCCTCACCTCCTTGTACTCCCAATATGTTTTTCCCAATAAAATTAAAAAAAACAAAAAAGACCAAAACTCTTGCTTTTAAAAAAAAAAAACAACACAAAAAACTAATTTAAAGAAGAGTCTAGTTTGGAAGTTAAAAGCCCCTCAACTCTTAAAATGACTGAGCAATCCCTTTCTTAAACTACTAGGTCAATGATAATCGTGTTGCTTTAAAAATTGAAATGCTGCCAGCTATTAAAGTGTCTTCAATGGCCCCAGTTTAGTGCCTGACACAGAAGCTGTTAAAAATACTGACTTTTAAAAAAAAAAAAATAGTACTGGCTAAGCATTATGCATTTTAAGAGGTAAAAGACTTGACAAAAAAATTTAGGAGATGAAAAGACCAATTATGATATAAATCCAATAGATATGACTTCTCTAATTTTTCATCTAGTGAAAAACTGTTTTAAGACCTGTATCTCAAAACAAGATAAGAATAAATCAAAAAGAAAAGGGGAAAAAAATCATGGGCAAAATTCAAAAGACAATGATACTTACTAGTAATTCTAGAAGAAATTCTTTCTCCAAAGCTGTGTCTTCATCTTTAGGAAGGGGTGGCAACAAGCAGAGGTATGATGCCACCTGGTGGAGTGTATTTGAACTGTGTGATAAAGAATGATCAAAATATTTTCATTTACTTTTTAGGCAAGTTTAAAATCTTTTACCTAGAAAATGTAATTTTACCTCATTGACAGCAACTACAGAAACGAGCCAGAAATTGTAGCACAGGGTTCCTAAAATGTCTTCTCTACATTTCTACAAAAATTCTAGCACAGGGTTCTTAAAATGCCTTGTGCACATTTCTACAGATCACTGAAATTGTTTCAGGGACTCAGCAAAGGCAACGTTGCTCGTGGGTCTTGTGTGTGTGGGTTTTTTAATATTAATAATAATACGCTGTCTATTAATTGTTCTTCTGACTGTCTATTTATTTACGAGAGTTCAAACTAATAGTAAAGAAATTGCTGGCATCTTAGCATGAATCAAGGCAGTGGCATTAGCCTTTATTACCAGTACTTTCAGTATTCTTCAGACACTGAGTGAATAAAGAACAAAACAAAAAAGAAAACAAACATAACAGTTTAAGAATACCTTTGCAAAAGAGTGAAAAATCATTAATGTGATTTAACTTTGAGTCCTGATAATCTGGTTTATTTGCTTTAATATTCTATGTAATAAAATGGTAAATATACATAAGTATCTGTGCTGCATAAGGAATTGTGATTCTTAAACAAAAGCATTTGGGTTTTGCATTTAAGCTAAACTGGTTACCTCTGCCATGGAACACAATTTTGCTAGAAAGACAGGACTAAGAAAATTATAAAACTATGGTTATTCAAACAATGATTAGAATAACTATGGTTATTAAAACTTGGTTACACAGAAAACTTTTCTCAAAATATATAAGTTGGTCATTTCAAGAGAAAAATATGAAATTTATTGCTAATGGCAAAATCTGAGCTTTCAAGTAAAAACCTAAAATTTTCTATCTTGAGTTTGACCACTTGCCAATACCTAAATGCAATTTACCATACACCATCAATACTGCACCAAATGTCCTTTTCTGTCTATCCTGTCAACAGCAACCACTTAGTGAGCCCTTTTAAGATAATCAAGCATATGCAATCATATATATGTATAAATTACACACTTATATTCTAAATAAAGTGTATGATTCCATATACTTGATTTTTTAAACATATAAAGCATGATCCTTCATTCAACCTAACCCATTTGCGATTCACCCATGTGAGGTACATCTACAGTTATTTTCTTTATTGTTGAGCAGTGTTCCATCACTTTATTTAATCAGCAGCTAAAAGATACTTGTTTTCTTTTCAACTTTTTAAAATTATGAATAAAGTCCTTATTTAGATTTTTGCATGCACACTACTTCACTTAGATCTATAAGTAGGAAGATGAGGCTGTAGGTTTCGTACGTGTGGTTCTAATAATATTGGGCAATGTCTTCATCTATTCCTATTTTGTTGTTGTTGTTGTTGTTATGTGCCGTCGAATCACCTGCGACTCATAGTGACCTTATGTACAACAGCCCTAAACTTCGCTCTGTCCTGTGCCAATCGCACTGTCTCCGACACTCCCATTCCAATTATCCCAGTCACTGAATCAATCCACCTCATAGAGGGCCTTCCTCTCCTGCGCTGTCCCTCCACCCTCTCAAGCATGGTGTCCCTCTCTAAAGACCGGTCTCTCCTCACAACATGTCCAAAGTATGTTAGACGGAGCCTCAGAATCCTTGCCTCCAAGGAGCCACCCGGTTTAACCCTTTCCAGGACAAATCTGTTTGTTTTCCTAGCAGTCCATGGTATTCTCAATACTCTTCTCCAGCACCACAGCTCAAAGGCATCAATTCTCCTTCTATGCTCCTTGGTCACTGTCCAACTCTCTGATGCATAACAAGTGATTGTGAAGACCATGGCCTGTATCAGACGCACCTTAGTCTCCAGCGAGACACCACTGCTCTTCAGTACTTTGGAGAGGTCCCTAACAGCAGACTTTCCCATGGCAATGCGCCTTTTAACTTCCTGGCTGCTGGTGCCAAGACTGTTGACTATGGAGCCAAGCAAACTAAAGCTGTGTACAATCTCAATCTCTTCACCATCCATCCTGATGCTGCCAATTGGTCCAGTGGTGAGAATCTTTGTCTTCTTGACATTGAGCCTCAAACCATATTGTAGGCTGCAGTCCTTGACACTCTGCAGCAGGCGCTTCACGTCCTCTTCAGTTTCAGCAAGCAGGGTTGTGTCATCCACATAACGCAGATTGTTGATAAATCGTCCACCAATCTTGACCCCACATTTCTCCTCATAGAGCCCAGCCTCCCGGATAATCTGTTCTGCATATAGGTTGAAAAGGTATGGAGATAGAATGCATCCCTGGCGTACGCCCTTCCCAATTTTGAACCATGCAGTGTTCCCTTGCTCTGTTCTAACGACTGCCTCCTGGTCCAAGTGTAAGTTTCACATTAGAATGATCAAGTGTCCTGGGATTCCCATTCTTCTCAGAGTCAACCATAGTTTGTTATGATCTACACAGTCAAATGCCTTTGCATAGTCAATGAAACACAGATAGACATTCCTCTGGTATTCCCTGCTTTCAGCCAAGAGCCATCTAACATCAGCTACAATATCTCTAGTACCACGACCCCTTCTAAACCCAGCCTGGACTTCTGGTAGCTCTCTGTTGATTCCTATTTTACTGAAAATATTTACCAGGAATAGGTGTTGGATTTCATTAAGTGCTTTTCCCACACTGACATGATCATGTAGAGTTTCAGAGACTAAAAAGGCAAAAACTCACTCTGTATTTCTCAAAAGGAAAGAACTGAAAAACAAAATTCAAGTCTCGAGTTAGAATAATGAAAGATGCTCTTGGCAAAATATTGAATGATCTAGGAAGTATTAAGAAAAGATAGAAGAATTACCACAACAAAAAGAATTGGCTGACATGGAAAGATTTCAAAAGTACCATAAGAACAAAAGTCAATGATAATGCAGAAAGAAGTTCAAGATTCATGGAAGGCAGTGGCAAAAGAGAAGACCACAGGAATCGATGGGATACCAACTGACATGTTTGAACTAACAACTGCAAGCTTGGTTGGATGGACTCAACAGTCTATGTCAGGAAATTTGGAGAACAGATGCTTGGCCAACAGACTGGAAGAGATCCATTTCCATTGCCAAGAAAGGTGATCTAATATAACGTGGACTTTACTGAACAGTATGATAAATATCACATGCAAGCAAATGGTGCTAAAGATTGTCCCTAAGTGGCTAGAGCAGTACAATGACAGGGATCTGCCAGAAGTTTAGTCTGGGTTCAGAAGACGCTGGCACCAGGGATAGCACTGCTGATGTCAGATGGATGCTGGCAGAAAGTAATTAAGACCAGAAGAACATTTATTTGTGCTTTACTGACTAAGCAAAGGCATTGACAATCACTGAGAATGGGAATCCCAGAGCTTGTGATCAAGCAAAATCCATACCTAGATCAAAAAGTCGTTGCTCAAACACAGCATGGATTAAAATCAGGAAGGGTACGTCTCAGCAATGTAATAATCTTTCTTCTTATCTATTCAATCTGTATGCTGAACAAATACTTCGTGACAATGGACTCTATGAAGAGGAATATGGCATCAGGATCAGAGGAAGACGCATCAACAACCTGCATTACTAGCAGATCATACACCTATCTTTAAGTGAGGACCTGAAATGCTTGCTGCAGATCAAGGACTATAGCCTGTGATGTGGACTACATCTGAACAGCAAGAAAACAAAGGTACTAACCACTGAAGACAATAAGGATTATGAAAGACTGAGAAAGGTCTGAAGTTGTCAATTATTTCAACTAGCTTGGATCAATAATCAATACCCTTGGTATCAACAGTCAGATTAGCGGATGTTACTGCATTTGGGCAAGTCCACTGTCCTAGACATCTCCAAAATACTGAGGAGTAATCATGTCAGTCTGAAGACTAATGTGTTCCTCATTCAGGCTATGGTCTTTTCAATCACTTGCTACACATATGAGAGCTGGAAAAAGAATAAGGACAAAAGAATAAGAATTGATGCCTTTGAGTTGTTAGAGGAGAAGAGTACTGAATATCTCACAGACTGCTAAAAGAACAAACAGATATGTCTTGGCAAAAGTGCAGCCAGAGTTGTTCTTAGAGGAATGAATGGTAAAACTCTCTCTCTCCTACTATGGTAATGTTGCTAAGAGAAGCTATTCTTAGAAAGATTTCATGCTTGGAAAGATGGAAGGTCAGAGAAACAACAAGATGGACTGACACAGTGACTGCAGAAATGCGCTCAAATGATGTGTCAAAGATGATGATGATGGTGGCACAGGACAGGGCAAGGTTCAGGTCTGTTGTTCATAGGGCTGCTATGAGTCATACTCGATTCAATCGCACCTAATTTCACATCACAAAAAATAATCATGCCCTCCTGTACTAAATTCTACCACAGTTAGAACAGACCTGATCAGTCCTCCAAATAGCTGTTAGAATTTTTCAGTAAAGATGTCTAGGCCAGAATTTTTTTCTTCGTGAGTTGCTCAGTTTCTTTTGTTATGAGTCTCTTCAAATTTTCTACCTTAGTTTGTATCAGTTTGTAGGCTGCACATCCAGAAATGGGTTCATTTCGTCTACGTTTTTTAACTTTGATAGAAACAGTTTCTGAAAGCATTTGTTTTGGTAAATTCTGTTTCAATGTCATCTAATTTATTTCTTATTAATATCATTTGCATCTTCTCTGTTTGTTAAAGCTAATGGTGATTGAAACTAACCTGAAGGTCACAGCTCGCTGGTGGTTCAAATCCACCAATCGCTTCACAAGGAGAGAGCTGGGCAATTTTCCACCTCCAAAAAACCACTGGAGGGCAAGCTATAAATGGAACTGAGTGGCAATATGAGAGTGTTTTCTAAACCACCCCAATAGTCTTATTCTATTGTTTTTGTTGTTTTCATGTACTTAAGCTATAATTATTATTAATTATTATTTTTTTCTTTCTTTTGGAGTCTGCAGGATTTTTTTAATTGCTGATGCTTTTCTTTGAATGTTGAAGTTGTTGGGTTAAGGCACTAATTTTGATGCTTTCTTATTTTGTGATGAGTTTACTATTATAAAATAACGTCTGGGCACTTTATTTTCTCTATGTCTCAAAAATTTCGGTACGCTGTATCATTCACTCTTATCTGCTTTTAGGAATTTTTTAAAAATTTCATACTCTCCTTGGTACCAGTAGGTTTTAGTCTGATTCCCTAGTCCCTTGGCTTTCTTCATAGTAGTACTGTGTACTGTAGACTCAGAACCACCCTCTGGTGGGTTTCCTGAGGCAGTTAATTTCATGGGAGGAGACTGGCCATCCTTCTCCCATGGAGCAGCTGGTGGCCTCAAACTGTGTGCCTTCACTATATGTGTGCAGCTTCTTGCCACTAGGCCGCCAGAGCTTTCTTGGTATTATTTTTAATTTTATAGTGCTGTGATCCAAGAAGATTGCTTGTATTGTTTTGATATTTTAAAATTGATTAGGGAATTAGGTAAACAAGGTCTAAATTAAAATGTATTCACCACACCTAGAGGGTACTAAAAGAAGGCAGACTATCATTATTCCAGTCAGAATGTATTCGCAGATGATCCTCCATTTCAGAGGCTTTGAACTGTAAGAAGCCATTGCTCCTCTTTCTCTCAGAGTTGCTGGCACAGTCAAACTAGGAAGCAAGCTGTTGGGTGAGCATCACAACTCCATCAGGTTAAGACACCAAATATTCCTGTCTGAGCTTCTGACAGGGTCAAACATGTTGCCTATTTTTGAGGTTGAATTATGAGCACTGTAAAACAATGAGTACTGCATTTTGCCAGATGCTCTATATAGTTTTCTCTTATTTTTTTCTTATTATATTAATTTATTTACAAAATTTTAATATATCTTTTCCAGAATGGATTTTTTTCAATTCCCTCAAACCCCTACTCATCAAACTGTACAACCCCATGATTAATCCCCTCCTCCCCCTGCACATCCTCATCCCTCTGCTTCGACCCCCTCCCCCCATCTTTATACTCATTCTATAAAAATGGTTTTATACAGTATTTGTCCTTGTGGGACTGAATTTACTCAGCATAATGATCTCCAGTCCCTCCTATCTTAGGTATTAATTTACAAAATAATTGCTCCCGCGTGCTGTGTGTTGTTGTTATGTGCCGTCGAATCACCTGCGACTCATAGCAACCCTATGTACAGAGAAGCTGCTGGATTCAAATCACAGACCTTTTAGCTCTTCTAAAACTTTCCACATTGACATTCAGGTTTATAAAATATATAGAATTAATTTTTTAGGCAATATTCAAGGTATGAATCAAGGTCCCTAATTTGCGTGCACATGGCACCAATTTCTCTAGCACTACTTCCTAAATAACATGCCTCTGCAAACTCTATGAACTTTGAGAAATGATGATAGTTAAAGAAAGGCTTCAGGTCGTTTGTTTAGAGGGTCCTATGAGTCATGCTCAACTTGACGGCAATCACCAACAACTGTTAAAAAAGTTAATGAGTAGCCATGATACCACCTTAGCTTACAATCAAACTACATATCCGTGGTTTACTTCGATATTTTGCATTTACAGTGTCTAGATGCAGAAGGTCAAGAACTGCAGCCTTCAGTATGGATTGAGGCTCAGTATCAAGAAGGCAAAGATTCTCACCAATGGGCCAACTGGCAGCATCAGGATGGATAGTGAAAAGAATGAGACTGTTAACAGCACCAGCAGCATCATATTGTGATGGTTAAGTCTGTTGTTAGGGACCTCTCCAAAGTACTGAAGAGCAATGGTGTCACTCTGGAGACTAAGGTGTGCCTGATACAGGCCATGGTCTTTGCAATTACTTGCATCAGAAAGCTGGACAATGACTAGGGATGACACAAAGAGAATTGATGTCTTTGAGCTGTCGTGTTAGAGTATTGAATATACCATGGACTGCTAAGAGAATGAACAGGTTTGTCCTGGAGAGGGTTAAATCAGGCTGCTCCTTGGAGGCAAAGATTCTGAAGACTTGTATGACATACTCTGGACATGTTGCAAGGAGGGACCAGTCTTTCGAGAAGGATGTTATGCATGGGAGAGTGGAGGGACAGTGCAGGAGAGAAGATCCTCTATGAGGTGGATAGATTCAGTGACTGACGTAATGGGGATAGGTATGTTGCAGACAGTGGGACTGGCCCAGGACAGAGCAGGATTTAGGGCTGTTGTTTAGGGGCTATGAGCAGCAGGTGACTCAATGGCACATGACAACACCACAAGATAGATACAGTGTCTGTGGCAATGGCTCAAATGTGTTGGGGTCACTAAGGATGAAGCAAGGGAGGACAGAGTTCAGATCTACCGTTCACAGGGTGGCTTATGACTCAACCGCAGTTAATAACATGGTGACACTGTGACATTGTTAGGTGTCACTGATTTATGACTCAGAGTGTTCCTATATACAAGAAAATGAAACAATGACTGGTCCTGAACCATCTTCACAATCAAGCATTTCTGCGTTGAGTCCAGTGTTGCAGCCACTGTGTCAGTTTCTTCTGTATAGTCTCTTTTTTCCTGAAGGGAAAAAAAAAGCCCTGCTTTGGGCCTTTTCAGTGACTGGTCCCCCTGATACCATCAACAAGGTAATTAAGATGAAATCTTTCTGTTCTTGCTGAGTCAGAACTGACGGACAGCTGACCCTCTAGCAGGTTATCAGAGGCAGTTAATCGCATGGGAGGAGATTATTCATCCTTCTCCTGTGAACTATCATACGTAATGAGTATTAAATAGTTTTTGCTGTGTTTGTGACTAACAGGACTCAAGTATTATGTTTTACTCTAACTAAAATCTAAGGTCTATAAAAACTTAAGTCATAAAAACATAGATATATTAATATTCCCAAAAAAGAAAGAAAAATAATACTCAAGTGACTCAAAGATATCCAATGTTAGACAGAGCTCTAACTGTAGTTATCAATAGGGTGGTGCAATGCTAGGTAAAGTTTCTGTTGTGGGCTGCTGAGTTTGACCCGCCCGACCCACAGCTGAACTTCCAGCAGCTTTCCACAGGTAGAAAACTGCACCGGAGGAGACTGACCATCGTCTTCCCACAGAGTAGTGCAAATGACTACAAAAGTGACTGAAAGCAACATATGATTTATAAAAATATTGTTAATAACACTGTTCACAAGATACTGAAAGAGAACAAATGGTTATTTTTTATGTTTTCTTACCTAAGAGGTCCAAAACATTTGACCAAGGATTCTCGAGTATCTACTTGGGCCACATTCGCAAGAGCAAAATCATAGAGTTCAGGAAAATGTGCAAAAGCCGCTCTCTAGAAAATAATAAAATCGTAACAATTAATTATTTACATATATCAACATAGCCATTTACAAATTTTATCATGAAAATAGTAATTTTCTAAAAAAAGAAACATTTTCCCTTTTTTTATAGGCTTTTCATATAAATTTATGGTCTAATTTAACCAGAAAGTTCCAATACATGGGAACAAAAGATAAGTTTTCTATGAAGAATGTAAAACAAAAGTCAGTCTTTCACACACACACAAAAAGTGAAAATAATCACGGATACATTTTTATTGAAAGAACAGAGAAAGAGATTATGAAACAAATAGATTTGAAAATAAACCCAAAATGCAAAATTCTCACTTTATTTTTTAGAACTGGCCTAATGAGACTGAGAGAAAGCCCCAAAGAAAATACCACTGGAGAAACAGCTTGAGATAAGAAGACAAAAAATATAGGGTTCTTGCATTTTTATTTTGCCTGGAGCTCTGTAAAGGTATGAAAAACACCCCAATACTAGCACCCAGGTTATTTCCTAAACCTGTCTGAAATAGTCCTATGCAAAAAGACACAGCAGTCTGCACATACTCTAAGGTGTCACAGACCACAGGGATTGTGCGGCTACCGCAAAGGTCAAGCCTCTCTGGAAGTTCGAATCTACCCATCACTCTGCAAAACAAAGGGCAGTCTCCTCCCCTGCCATCTATAATCTCAGAAACTGGATGGTGGAAGAGCTTTAAGTTGGTTCTGGCTTGATGCCAATGACTTTGACAGTGGATGACATGGCAGATAATAAAAGTCATGTGAGTCAGTTACACTACCACTACTCACAAACCCCACGTATATGATTACCATAAATCAAAAAGCTCACCACTGCTGATGCAACTCTTGGCAACCCTCCATTAAGTTTCCAAGGCTGTAAATTTTTACAGGAATTAATGTCTTAATTTTAAACCACGTACTGTTTATTGCTCTGTTTTTACAACAGCCTCTTGATCTAGGTATAGGTTTAGCATGAAAGGAATTAGGAGCAACAGTGAAAGACGGCCTGTATTTCTCCATCCCCACCCTCTAGCCACCAAGAATTTATAAGAATTAGAAGTAAAAAAAGAAAATTAAGATGAAAATACTATGGAATCAGTATCTTGTGCTGGACCATGTTGGAGATTGTGAGGATGCACAGGTTAGGGCCAATCAGATCTGGTTTGTTGTTCAAAGGACTTGACTCAACGACACATTAACAACTAACAAAAAAACTCATTTCTAGTGTGACCCAGCATCTTGAAGAATAAGCAAAGGCATTAACGCATTTCAATTACCTGTAGAGAAGTGATTCTATCATAGTGAATTGTGGTCATTTCATTTTCTGTCAGAGCATTTCCAGTCTGATCATTGATTTCAAAGCCAGTATAGAACTTCAGCATGTCCAAAAGCTAAAAGAATGTATTTAAATCAGTAAACTGTAAGAACTCAACATATGAAAAAGAAAGTATGCATAAATATTACTTAATACAAACTTCATAACAAATAGTGTGCACATACTTTTCTAAAAGAGCTGAAAAACTTCAGGGATATAAACATTGCAACAAACATTTCAGAACACATTCAAAATATGTTTTATTTAAGTATTTAAGGCATGTGCTTTAAAAAGAAATTGTGAAAAATCTATTTTACATGCATAATCCCCTACAGAGAAAAATTTGCAATTCTAAATTTTAAAATTCTAAATTGAACCAAGAAGAAAACAAAGGAACACTGGGACCACAAACACTCAGGGAGGGATGGCTCCTGGGCTGCATTCCTGGGGCTTCATTATGGGATGTTCCCAGCTCCCCTCAAAGGCTTTGTCCACTCATGAGAGAAACATCGACTCCAATCGACTTCACAGAATACCAAGGGAACAGCACACAAATTCAAACATAGAGCAATAAGAAAGGGAAAAAAATCATCACAAGATAGTACACAATCAACAAAATACTAGAAACAACAGAAAAGCAAGGAAATAAATCCAGAAAATCAAGGCAGAAATTCTCAATTTGATGGAGGCACAAAAAAGCAGAACAAAAGAGATGAAATAGAGAATCAGCAAGTTAGAAAAGAATTTCAAGGAGAACTTACAAGAAGAACAAACTGAGAAGACAGAGGGAAAAATGAAGAAAACATTAGAATCATGTGGGATGACATCAAGGGGAACAACATATATGTGAGTGGAATTCCAGAACAGGAAACTAAATAACATGGAAAAAAACTGTGGAAGAGATAGAAGAAAACTTTCCAGGTATCATGAAACACAAGGAAATAAATGTTCTAGAAGATCAGCGAATACCAAACAGGCTAGATCCCAAAAAGGAAACCATCAAGACATATCCTGTACAACTTCAAAATCAAAGACAAGGATAGAATACTAAAAGCAGCATGAGACAAACATGGTCACCTACAAAGGAAAACCAATGTAATTAAGCTCTGAAGTCTCAGCAGATACCATGCAAGCAAGAAGAAACGGATGTGGTATACAGAAGGGTGAAAGAAAACAATTGCCAGTGGTGGTATCTGTACCCAGGAACGCTGTCCATCAAATACAAAGGAGAAATTAGGTCCTTTGTAAGCAAACAAACTTTAAGTAATCATGAAAACATGATCAAATCTACCATAAATACTAAGAGAAGTCTTTCACAGAGATACAACAGAGGAAAGTGGATGGACCAAAGTAACCAGTAACAACAGAAAAAGGAATGCAGCAAAATGGCAAAAATCTAGTCTATCAAAGGTCACACTCACTGTGAATGGCTTAAACTCATCAATTAAGAAAAAAAAGAGTAGCAGAATGGATAAAAAACCCCAACTACATCAATATGCTGCTGACAAGAGACATATTTAAGAAATGAGGAGACAGATTAATTATCAAAGGGTAGAAAAAAGATAACAAGCAAATGGCATCCATAAGCAAGCTGGAGTGCCAATTCTAATCTCTTAAAAAGACTTTAGGATGAAAACCATCACAAAGGATAAGGAAGGACTATATAATGATTAAAGGTGTAATAGACCTTTAAGGACATATCCTTAATTATTCATGTTGTTTTTGTTGTTGATTGCCTTCGAGTCAGCACGGCTCATAGTGACCCTATGGACAAAAGGCCTGATGCCATTCTAGAACTATCAACAATTATCAAAGTTCATAGAGTTTCCAGAAACATCTCATTTCGGAAGTGGATGCCACTCCTGCTTCCAAATAATTATTCATATTTCCTAGTTACTCAACATAGTGAAAATGACCATACTATCAAAAGCAATTTACAGATTCAACAAAAATAACAAACTCTTCCTCAGGAAGATAAAAAAAAGACAATTTCCAGATTCATTTGGAAAGGAAAGAGATCCAGAAAAAGAAAAGCTCTTCTGAAAACAAAAATTAAATTAGAGGTATCTCACTTCCTGATTTCAAAATGACTAGTTCCTTGCAAACAGCCAAAAATGCTCAACATGGAGAAGATAAAATCTACAAATGAGACCTTCTTAAAATAAAATTCCTGTGTGCATCAAAAACTTTCTACAGTAGGGTGAAAAGATAGCCCAGATTTGCAAAAAAGTTGGCAATGACATTACAGACAAGGGTCTCATAACTAAAATTTACAGAATCCTACAGGGCCTCCATTTTTTTTTTAAAAAAAAAAAGAGACTGAGAACTCAATCATAAAAGGGGCAAAGAAAGAAAATGAAGACTCTTTACAAAGGACATTCAGATAGCGAAGAAATACATAAGAAAATGTTCAAAATCACCAGCAATCAGAGAGATGCAAGTCAGCACAATGAGATACCATCTGACTCCAGCAGCAAGAGCAAAATTTAATAACAAAGCAAACAATAAATACTGGAGAGGATGTACAGAGACTGGAACTCCTAGGCACTGCTGACAGACTGAAAACGGTACAACCACAATGGAAGGCAGTTTAGCATTTCCTCAAAAAGCTGAACCTAGACAGAAATCCCATATGACCCAGCTATTCACTGCTAGGAATATTTTCTAAGAAAATCAGAACTGAGACATAAACAGAGATTTGAACGCCTATGTTCAAGGAGCATTATTCAAAACAGTAAGAAAATGGAAATAGCCCAAATGTCCATCAACAAATAAATGGACTGTGAAACTGTGGTACATTCACACAGTGGAATACCATGCAATGCTAAGGAACAATTATTTCATACAATACTATATAACTTGGAGAGACTGGATCGCGTTATACTGTGTAAAACATCTCAGTCATGTAAGGATAAGTATTTCCTAAGACCACTACTGCGGTAAGAAGAAAACTGAGCAAGATATGTATAAATGTTCAAAAGGAGAATGGGAGGGGAGACAGAAAAAGCGTAAGGGGGGGGAAGGCAGTGGGATAGCAGAATTACTGGGATAGCAGAGGCTAATGGGTGGCCTGGGAGTGAAGGACTGGGAAATGGTCAAGGAGGGTGGTGGAATCCAACGCTTAGACATTAATTCTAAGAATTAAATCAAAGGAAGCCAGGTATTTTAATGGCAGAAAGATAGATTTAGACTTGTACAAATTAGTAAAGATACAGCAGTACAGATATCTTTTACTTAGGCCATCTATGAAGAGAATCCATAATAGGAGATACTCATGTCTATGTCCTGCTTCTAAAAGCTAACTCACTTCTCTCAATCAGTCTCATGGTCATCAGCCATTTTGTTGGCAAAGCCCCACTGCTAATGAAGCTCTGCTTTCCTTGTACACTGGCAGCAGCATCACTAGAGCATCTTTTCACTGCACTCACTCAAACAATTTAGTTAAATTGCTGATGGCAGAGGACAGGTTAGGATTCTAACATATGTCACAAATGACATATGTCAAATGACATATGTCACAAATGACTGGGTAGAAATTTTACAAGAGAAGAAAAAAAGATGAATGTTCATAGATGTAAGATCAAAGAACTCTTAAAACAGGTATACGTACACTTACAAAGTCTATTTTCAATTACTATCACACTTGCAAGGAGTTCTGGTGCTTCTAGGCCAAAGGCCATGCCTCTCTGGTGAACAGTGGCTCCTAAGAGAGGGACAATCTCCTTCCATGTAGCTGATAGCCTCAGAAACCCAATGGAGAACCAGCTCCAAGTTAGATGAGACTTGACCACAAAAAAGTATTTTATCACACTTGAACAATTAAGCATTATTAGAATGCAAAAAAAACCCCCCAAAAAGCCATTAATACTTTTACTTTCTACTGAAGGCAACAAACTAAGTGCATCTGCATTCTCATCTGAGAGACGAGACAATATATGCCTAAGCTGCTGCCTGTCTCTTGTCACTGCCACCTTTGGCAAAGAGAAACTTACAATATTAGTACATTCAAAATACCTAAACCCATTGTGGCTATTTTGAATTCCAATCCAGAGCAACCCTACAGGGCTGAATAAAGCTGATCTATACAAGCAGTAATTGTTTATGAAAGCAGGCTGCCTTTTTCGTTCACACGGCAGCGGGTCAGTTCCAACTGACATTTCCATTAGCAGATGAGGGTTTAACCACTCTGCCATCAGAGCACCTTACTGAGGCTTAGTTCACATGAAGACATCATCTACTGTATTCCACAACCATATGGAATACAGCTTTAGTTCTATGAGATCAAGATATGTGAAGATATGGGACATGCCTCACATCATAAAATAAAACTCTATGTAATTAACAAAATATTATATATATAATTAATACAGGTCACCTTCACATGAAATGCATTTTATATATTAAGACTTGACATTACAACGACTAAGTAGTAGCATCATTCAATTCTGTTATTAAAAGACCTAAGTTTGAGCTATAACCATGTATTTCTAGTTGAATTGGGAGGAGATCAATTTAAGGGGGAAAAAAATTGTAGTATGTTTAGAAACATTAAAGCTCACCTGGGAGAAAAGATGACCATCCTCTTGCCTATGAACAAGATTAGAAAGGTAACAGTGAACCAAAAGGTGGGAATCATCCAGGATAGTATTAAACCAGCGCCGTGTGGGAAGTAGGGCCTAGGGGGAAAGTACCACAGCAGTAAGTTAAAATGTATTTACCACAATTAGATGAGAAATCTACTGATACTTAACTCAGCAACATCAAATGCATATATAGTACACGCTTACTTTCCAGAAAACACAGTACACAGAAAGTAGGGTCTGGTTAATGATATAAACAAACTCAGTAACATTTCAAGGTTTTAAAAACAGTAATAATGGCAACAGGACATTTTAAGTCCAAGTGAAAATAAAATCCAGTAAATGAAAATATGATCTCAGCCAATAACTTTTAAATAAAATCTTAGAAGAAATTTCAATAGATATTGTGCATAGATTTAACAGAAGAACTACTGGGGGAGATAAGCAAGTGGAAAGCCCTCAGTGGATTCCTCCTACTTCTTCTTCCCTTCCCCACCACGGCATCAAGGCAACGCTAAAACAGTGTGTGACTGTGGCAATCACTGTTGAAAAGACTGGGATAATTGGGATGGGAGTGTCAGAGACAGTGCGATTGGCACAGGACAGAGCGGAGTTTAGGGCTGTTGTACATAGGGTCGCTATGAGTCACAGGCGACTCGACGGCACATAACAACAACAACACAATGACATATATGAGGTTCCTGTAATTCTTCATGGCTATTAGCAGAGCCAGACTTGAAGGAAGTTCTCCTGATTTACTACTGCTAGCCTACAACTCTTAAGACCCATTTCAGAAAACCATTCCACACTCTAGAAAAGGAACAAAGGTTTTGGTTTTTGTTTTTTTTTCATTTCCTACATCAAAAAGGTAAAGAAAATTAATTCAATCTGAAATATACCAATTCTGCATGTATACTTTTCATTAAAATCTTGCACTGAGTACAAAATCTTCTTTTCAAAGAGTTGACAATCGCTTCTGTATTTCCTATTATCAAGATTATTAGGCACATTAAGAAATATGAGATTGTTACAGATGGTCATAGCTTCAAGGTATCAGTCACTAGTTAAAAACTCTATGAAAAAGCATTAACATATGAAAGAAACCATCATTACTGAACTCATATTTATTGACTATACTAGGTCATTTCTTGTCTACTAATGGTAGTCCATGCTGGATGGGATAATCACGTGAAAATATTAAGGGCCAATTACTCGTAGCTTTCTTTCCTAGGTGATAACTTGAAAACCAGGATGAGATGATGAATACTTCAAACACAAGCATGTACTTATTCTTAGCCCCTCAATGATTATGTAACAAAAGTGTCACAGGAGATGATTTTTTTACCTCTAGATCAATCATAAGTTCAATGAATCTTTCACAGTAATGAACTTTATCCATAGTGACAGGGTCTAGATAGAGAGAGAAAACACATTAGAATTTTCTTCTTAGGCCATTCTGTGTGCTGTATCTTAAAACCGGCAGCTGCTTAATTATTTAAACAAAGTTATTTGTCTTTTCCTCACGATTGTACTATGATTCAGAGTAAGACCTCACATGTCCTCTTATATTTAGCTCTTTATGAGAAAATAAAATTTAGCTTGGGGTAAAAATATATTTTAAAAATCAGGCTCGAAAAGCTATTTTTTAAAGTGTTAACTTAAAAATATCTGTACTTAGTAATTCTATTTTTAAAAAATTTGAGACATGAGTAACTGGAAAGGGAATGTATATTAAACACATATGTGTATGCATATGTGTATAAGCACATGCACACATAAATACATCTTCAAAATGCACCAAACTAATCAGAGAAGAAATTCTTAATACTTTTTTCCAAGTACTACTTCAAATTTGCTGCCAACAATATATAGAGTACCATTTTTTTTAGACTACTGCCTAATTTTATGCTATTTATTAGCATTCTCCACTGAACTATTTTTAAAAACATTTCTTTTTAAGTAATCACAACCTTGGGACATGATATGAAATGACATTTTAAGAGTACAAGTCAAGTCTGTCTGTTTTCCTAATAACAGGAAATGGTCTACCATTTTATTAGCTAAAACTACTCTGCCAAGATTATTCTGATCTAAAAGGAGAGAACTGTAGGGTCCTTGTTACTACTCAGACTAAGGACTTCCAACAAGAACCAATATGCCTGACCTACAGAAGCATCAAACAAACGCTTAAATAAATATATTTATCTGTAGTGTAATAGAAAACAAAGGGTTGTAAAAACCCTTGTGACTGAAGAACCAGAGAAACTGATCTAATAAAGATACAGAGTTATTTAAAGAGCTCCGACAGAGTAGTCTGATGTTATATGCTGTGCTAAATGAAAGTACAATGGATCAAATCAACTAGCTGCTCTGAAGGAAATAGTCATCTCCTCTCATAAAGATTTAGAGCTTTGGGGACTTGGGTGATAGAATGTCACCATGGGTAGGAATCAACTCAAAAGCAGTGGACATGGTTATTTATTAACTATTTATTGACTCTGAACCCAGGTTTTCTGGCCTACTTTGGATTATACAACTACTTAAACTGAAGAGTTAAAGGGAATAATTTTTAATTAAATCCATTCAAACCAGCCCTCTGTTTTCCCCCTTATTGCCAAAGAAAAGTTTTATTCAAAATGGGAAGAAAAGAAAATAAGCAAATTCTGCACTATGTATATTTATAGCTTAAGAAAATGACTGATAATGGCCTGTTTAGAATCTGATGTTCAAGTTTTGAGGGCTACTCTTGACAGAATTTCATTTTTCTGGTGGCTCAAGAGGAAGTCTTACTCAGAGTTAAAAGTTTGCTGTTGCAATTCCAGCCTTGACATTTGCTTCATAAGTGGTTTGTGTTACATTGTTGGGTTTTTGGTTTGTTTTTTGTTTTTCATTTTTTCTAACAACAGTCCTGACATCTTAATCTATGCAAACTTCTTTTAACTACAAATATTGTGGAAATAATATTTCATAGCCCTGTAAAAAAAAAAAAAAAAGCTACAGTCCTATTCTATTCTTATACAAATCGGCTTCCTTTCTCCCAAGCACATAATCCATTTTCATGCCCTCTCTAAACCAGCATACTTTTCTCATAATCTTGTAAACCCTGAATATATTTTTATATCAGAGTAATTTGTTGTTCATCAATAAATGGAAGTTATGGAAACCCCTTTCCTCTCCATTTTACTTTCAATATTTCTGATTTTATTTAATTTTGTATTTCAAATTAAAAAAAGAATTCTCTTCTTTCCCTCCAAATAGTATTTGCTGTCAGCTGGAAACACTGCTCAGCAAAGTTACAACATGTACAGTAAGTGACTTAGGGGCAGGGTCTGTGCTAGTTTTCCTCAGCATTGTATTCCAACATTTTGCACAGGGATTGAATTTAGTAAGTAAACAAAAAAAAAACTTTGCTAAATAAATAAACATTTCCATAACCAAGTCAATGCCTTAAAAATAATTCATCAAGGCAGTCATACTCTCAGACTAAAAATATACTTGAAAAGCACAGGGAATACACTAAGATTATAACTGAAAAAACTAAAAGCAGTTTTCAGTCTAGAGATAAGGAAATACAGTAGGGACACCTGAAGGATAAATTAGTAAGGGAGTTGAGTAAAGGAAGATAGTTACCAGACAGTGGGACTGATTTCAGCACAGAGATAAACTTCTGGATAAGTTGTGACAGAAATCTTCTTTCTTGAAAAGCCCTAAAACCACAGATTACATCGAGAACATTATTTTAAAAAAGTTATTTCAAAAGCCTATGTTAAAACACTGAATATAACTTTCTTATCTTTCTTAAATTGTTCAAATATTCCTTTCCCGCTGAAATTGGAAACAATATTTGAAAACATGGCTCCCTCTTTCCTATGTCTTTGTTTAATAGCCAGTCTCAGTCTCATCATGATTTTTTTCTGATCAACAGTGTCTTAACTGCACAATCAAATGGGATATTCTCAAGTCTGTTTCTCTTCACATCTCTGCAGCATCTGAAACCTTCCCTTTCCACTCTCTCTTTATCCTTTCCTCTAAAATGACTTTTCTTGTTCTTCTCCAAACTCTTAATTATCCTTTTCTAAAAAGCTTTTCTTTTTCAGCTGTGACATTTTCCTGTGCGCTAGTCCTTATTCTTTTGCTTTATCTCCCTTAAATACTCTTTCTACCCCCACCTAAGTCATTTCATATACTCTTCCTCTAGCTTTAGTTATAACCTCAGTGTGACTTAATCTGAACTCTCTATGGCCCTGACTTCCATTTCTGCCTTCAATATGCAAGTCCTTTCACTTGGGTGCATAGCCATGAACACCAATTTGGCTCATCCAAATACAAGTGATTGATAAATAACCCATACATTTTGAAAAATGATCTTGATAAGTAGCACATGTTAAAAATACATTATATCAAAGATGAAAAAACAAAATGGGTCCTTGGTATAAAATTCAGATGTGTTAACCTTTAAATTAGGATTCAAGAGTCACCAAAAAAAAAGTAAAAAAATATAGAAGACAGATTTGGCAAACCTATCAACACCTTCTAGGACCTATAAATCAACAGAATAAACCAAAATAGAATGAATCTTTGCCAACATACTGTTCTCTTGCTTCTGGGTCCATCTTTTCATCATTCTTTTTAATTAAGTTCCAGAATTTTTTTAGCTTGGGTGTCTTTTTCAACTCTAATTCCAATCGTGCCTGAAAGAGATATGATTAAACCACTAGTGACCTCTTTTTAAAAGATTAAATAAATAACAAGCCAGTTTTCTTATATACGGAGATGATACAGAGCAATGTAGTAAAACCTGAGACTAACCACGGCAAACCTGAGAACAGGAAATTCAATAGGTTTATTCTGAATAGTACTGCATCTTAATACTTAGTAACAGGAAATAAAAGACAAAGATTCTTCTAGTCAAGATTTTAAGCTCAATAATCAAATATCCTTTTTACTTAAAAACAAAAGAGATTTACATCTATGTAAATGAGCATTAAAGCTTATGAACATAAGCATTTAAGCCTGGAAATAAGTCTGGAACAATAAACATAAAACAGCTAACATAAGTAACCAAGGAAATGCTTACAATCACCACATTCGCTCTTACAGTACATAATATATTTTAATTTAGTGATTAGTTATCTGAGGGATAAAGATAGGAAATTTCCTCCTGTAAAGGTTTACAACCTTGAAAACCAAGGAGAGTAAGCTACGAGTCACTTCCAACTGATACAATTATATGTCCCTTATGTTTTCATCTGCATCAACTGGTATCTATGAATGTGTGTGCATTTTGGGGAGTATCTAAAAATACCACAATAGGAAACAGATTTCTAAGTATTCCATGAAATGTGATAGTTCTTACTTATAAGAGCTATTAATAGGCTTTTGATACAAGAACATAAGTATCATTCACTAAGGATTAAACAAAAAACTGCTAAAATTAAATGTAACCCAGACCTGTTCCTATAGCTGTTATGTACACTCCAATCACAGTAAATAGGCTTGTCTTTAATCTCACCCAAAGATATGTACAAGGACTACAAACTTTGTTAAATTAATCCCTCTTTCATAAGCAGCTCAATATATATATTTAGTCTTACACAGCAACGATGTCAGTCTAGAGACTCAAGTATACCTAATACAGACCATGATCTTTGCAATTACTTGCTATGCATCAGAAAGCTGGACAAAGACTAGGGATGACAGAAGGAGAATTGATGCCTTTGAGCGGTGGTGTTGGAGAAGAATACTGAATTACTATGCACTGCTAAGAGAACAAACAAGTTCATTCTGGAGAGGGTGAAACCACGCTGCTCCTTAGAGACAAGGATTCTGAAGCTTCATCTGACATACTATGGACATGCTGCAAGGAGAGACCAGTCCTTGGAGAGGCACATCATGCTTGGGAGGCTGGAGGAACAGCACAAGAGGGAAAGACCCTTGATGAGACGGACTGATTCGGAGACTGGGGTAATTGGCGTAGGTGTAGCAGAGACAATAAGATAGGCATAGGATAGAGCAGGGTTTAGGGCTGTTGTATACAGGGTCACTATGAGTCGCAGGTGACTCAACAGCACATAACCAGAACAACAACAGTCATTAGGTGAAATATGCATTAACTTACATATAAAAACCTTGTAAAAACACTCCTAAGATAAATGAATATACAATCATGTACATTTTCTAAGCAGGAATAGTGAATTTTGTATCACTTTTACATCTATTTTGTCAGTTTAGAATCTCTTACAGTATACACATGTTCTACTCATAACATACAGCTATACACTTATTTCTGAAATGAAATACTTACAGGTTGCAAACCCATCCACATAGGAAGAGAGATAAGCTGCTGTACTTGACTCCGGATCAAATCTACTTCCTGTTTAAGGCAGTAAGAAAAGAAGTTTATAAATGTACCAACATTTCTACTTAAGTCATCACATACTGTCTACTTCAGTCCTGGGTAGGAAACATAACACAAATAGTTTCAAATTAATAATACTGTTATATTGGGAAGTTCAATACTTTTTTTTTTAAAAAAAAGGAAGGTAGCATTTCAGCAATAAATTATTTGCTAAATTGGCTAAGATAATATAAAGTTCAAAGTACTGACTGGTATGAGTATGATCTAAAGAATCATGGTGGGGTAATGGTTAAATGAGTGTTGCTAACTAAAAGGCGGTTCATTTACATATACCTACTGCCTCTATCAAAGAAAAGAACTGACAATCAGCTTTTGTAAAGTTTATAGCCTAGGAAACACTTAGAGCTGTTGTACCGTCACACTACATTGTTCTGAGTTGGACTTGACTGGAGGGCAATAAGAGTGGTGAGCACCAAACTATTAATTAAATCTTGTTTTAGTTGAATGTCCATAGGGAATCATATCTACTTATATTTATTTATATTTGTTCTGTTTATATACAACTTCAGATAATTATAGTAGGATCTAAAAGATGATCTTATGATAAAAATAGAAAACATTTTCAAAGATCACCCCATTTACCTTATCAGTTAACTCAAGAGACAACTCTCCTCTTGACCAGCCAGTCTGTGCATTATTAGCACATAGCAAAAGTAGGGAAACTACATCTTTATGTGCCGCCTGAAGCACAAATCTCACTACCCAAACTTCATATTAATCAAACTCATTGCTGCTTCTCATTTTTATTCTACCTCTGGACATTTCTCTTCTGTTCATTAAATTTTAAGTCTGGATAAGGTATCAAGTCCAAATTTATTTGTGAACCAGTTTTATAAAATGGTTACAGTGAGAATGAATTGAAATAATGCTTTTAACATTGTCCTTATTCCCTACCACCACGGATGAAAAGCTGGCTACAGAGGAAGCCTTACGTAAACTCAACCTAGAACAAGAAAATCAGAAAGTACAACCAAAGAACAATTATAAATTACCAAACTATTGAAGCAATGATCAAGAAAAAGGAGCAAGACTGTCTGTTCATGAAGTGAAAATTCTCCATCAGTTTCAGCTAGTGCAGCTTTCAAGATGCACTTAAAAAAGAACGGGAAGTGGTCTGGTTTCTTCTTAAAAGTCTG